AGACCAAGATTTCAATTTCAGTGACAAAACAACCTTCGAAACTGGGCCAAAAAGTGGGTAAAGGTGTGCATTGGTAAGTCACATCGAATTAGGGAGACCCACCCCCGGTGGGCGGGGCGTTCTCCAAAAAAGCAGTGCTTTATGAAAAATTTCATAACTCGGTTGGGAGAAAGCCTACAGAGCAGAAAACAAATTGGTGTAGGGGAGCAATGTCTAAGGTGTTTCCCAGCATACATGACGTGGGCGGAGGCCCGCCCACAATGGGCGGAGCGCGCTCTGAAGTGTACAGCGTTTTCTACAAGTCCTCATAATTCGGGCCGGAGAAGTCTTAGTGAGCCGGAAAAAGGTGGATAGAGGTGGGTGGAGGAGTGGAGGCCAACTGTCATCGGTGGGCGGGGCATGACCAAAGTGGGCGGAGTTTGCGACGAAAATTCATAACTCGGTTCCAAGAAGTCCCGGAGACCGGGAAAAAGGTGGATAGAGGTGGGTGGAGGAGTGGAGGCCTCTCGGCCATTCATAACTCGGTTCCAAGAAGTCCTGGAGACCGGGAAAAAAGTGAATTGAGTTCGTCAACGGAAGGGAGGTCAACTGCTATTGGTGGGTAGGGCGTGCACCAACGTGGGCGGAGTTTGCCCTAAACTTATAATTTAGTTCCGAGAAGTCCAGGAGACCGGGAAAAGAGTGGGTCGAGTCCGACAACGCACGGGAGGACAGCTGCTATTGGTGGGTAGAGCGTACACCAAAGTGGGCGGAGTTTGCGACGAAAATTCATAACTCGGTTCCAAGAAGTCCCGGAGACCGGGAAAAAGGTGGATAGAGGTGGGTGAAGGAGTGGAGCCCAACTGTTGTTGGTGGGCGGGGCATTTCCAAGTGGGCGGAGTTCTCCACAAAACTTTGTGACTCGGCTGCAAGAAGTCCTGGAGACCGGGAGAGAAGTGGGCGAAGGAAAGGAAGTGAATTTCTAATGGTGTGCGGAGGATACACCAAAAGAGCAGGATTCGCCGCCAAAATTATAAATCGGCTCAGGATAGTTCAAAGACTGGGAGATAGGTGAGACATGCAAAGAAATAGGCGGAGTTTACCACGAGGTTCATAAATCGGTCCGGAGGCAGTCCGAGGCCGGGAAAACGGACAATTGGTTGACGATTACGGACAATTGGTGGAGGAAGGAGGGAAGGTCAAAAGCCATCGGTGGATGAAGCATGGGGCAATCGGATAGAATTCAGCTTGAAAGTCAAATATTCGAAGTGTATTGGGCCAAATTCGAAAATTCACGCCGCACCATCCTATATCGCCGCAGAACTGTGCTGTGCGCGCAACGCGTGCGGCGCCAACTGGTTATAATGTAATAGCTTCGTTCAGAAATGATTTATCAATGTTTTTTCGGTTGCTTAATTGCCGAATATCTGGCTGCTATGTGGCGTGACAGAATTTGTCAGAACTAAGCGCTGGTGTAGTTCCTATAGTCGCTCGGTGAATGGATTCGCTTAGATGCAAGAATCTTACAGCTCACTCAGACTATTTTAAGAGCAGCCTAAAGAGGTTCCGGGTCCTGAAGAGGAGTGATTTCTGCAGGCTTCGGACCTCAGCACTCCACGAAATCATTAGAACGAATTCAAAGTGATAATGGAAGTGAATTTTAATTTGAACCTCTTTCTAGCGTGTGAGGGCCGCAGTTAGCAGGCCGAAATTCTATTTTTGGAAACAATGAAAGCATGGTATTTCTAAGTTTGGTATCACGACTCTTTAGAATTTTGCCAGCAGAGGGATTTCGATAGTTATGGAAGCATTTCACGCCCGTTAGAACATCTGAAAGGTGGTATCTTCAGTGATTGGTGAAGGTAGAGACGTGAAGATAGTCATTCCTTGAGATATTTTCGGGAGCCAAAAGCAGATTTCAGTACCCTGCCTATCTTATAGGTATTGCTTCGCACGCTCTGCTCTTCCCCATAGTTCTTCTAGGCTCGTCATCCAACGATTCTAATTCAGTAACGGAATATTCGTGATTCATTTTGTGTTGCATAAGGGTTTATAAGCGGTCAACAAAACGGGGGTTCTATGATCCATAAAGATTTTTTGTGAGCCTTGTTCAGTGAGCTTATTTCAGCCCTTTTCCGTATGTGCACAACATCGGCCGAAAGACTCTCGAGATCTTATGGTATATGCATGTGAGAAGTTTCTACCATACTCAGCCCATTTTAAGGTATGTACTTCCTCAATACAGGGCCTTACATCAAGAATGTTATTCTAAATCAGAAGAAATGCAGTTTTTGGTGGAAAATTTCAGTGTCTCTAGTTCTACTCAACATTTGAGATTAGTGTGTAGCAAAATGCTATCTGCTACGTAAAGGCATTACATTCAAATACTTTTTGTTTACTTACTATTTACTTATGCTTATTTTGTAAGGCGATGTCAAAAACATTGGTGAGTGAGGGTATTTGTCTCCATTTGATGCAGATAACGTGTTTCAGCGAAAAATGTGATAATTATGTGTCTACTTCCCCTCAAGCTTGGGAGATTGGCGTGAAGGGGTATTAAAAGAAGCGATTACGATAAGGAATTTTCGCATCGGGGGAGAACCTGCGCCACACGGAGCAATTACTTGGCTGCCAAGGAAGCAATGTGTGGCGCTTCCACGGCGAAAGGTGCTGTGGTTGCTGAGCAGGACCTCCGCAGCACTCCGCCCCCAGCAGCGTTACGCCCACAAGTTACTTGTTGATTTGGACGAGCTGCGTGACCAGCAGCGGCGCAAATGGAGTATCTCGATTAAAGCGTACTTTGGCATGGTTCCATCAAATTCGTTGCGGTGAACTCGTTCATACGTCTTACCTGTTCACGAGTTGAAACCAATGGCCAAAAAAGAGGGTCCCGTTTTGCGTTTTCTTGACGGATTTTTCTGCTTTTTTCGCTGCTGGCGTACCATTGAGCACCACCACGTCACACTAAACCCTTCTTGAATTTATCGTAATCGCTGCCTTTAGCAGAAATGACAGTGTTCTATCGGGAGAAGGACGAAGTATCGGTTGTGGTGTGAGGATTTTTCAGGGATATTTATCAATTTCTAAGGAATTTTGATAAAATTAAAATTATTTAATGTCAGTCATGGGTCTTCTTCCTGCTTCAGATTGCTTCATTTGAGCCCCTTATCGCTCGTATCAGTGTGGTTTTATTAAGAGTAAAAGAAGATGGAGTTATGCTCGGAGATGCAAGGGCGAAGGAATTCGGAAATGACCTGAAGACCCTGACTGGAAATTTTTTGTCCCTAATTGATTTGATCCCAAATTTCCACCACACTTGTCTTCCTTGTGCCAATCTGCCTCTCCCCATCTATAGAAGCACCGTCAAAAGTATCGAACCCCTGTGCAAGTCGGGGCTTCATGCTTCGGCTCATGCTCTGAAATGCTCAAAAAAGGCTGATTATATCGTCATCTCGCATTTGCATGCAAGGGTGGGTAGCGAATGCAAACCGAATTAGTAAACACGTGGGAAACTATGTTTCAACACGCTTGAACGAGGAACTCCGCAGAATTGACATAGCTAAAAGCCTTCTCCATGTCACCTTGGAAATAGGTAGCTGACGTGATATGGAGTTGGTGCATATAAACCTGTGAGAAAGAGAGGTTAAGTAGTCCTCATTGCCAGAATTTTTGCCCCGTGTCTACAAAAGTATTAAATAATACTAAAAAATACTAAATAAAAAATAAATGAGTATGATGGAAAAATATGAATAAAATATAAAATGAAAAACATGCCTCTGTAATTATCTTAATAAAAAATAAAAATAAATAAATTAGAGAAACTGGATACGAGTCATAATCCTTTCAGACAGTTCAAAATTTCTACCACCGACGACGTCTTCGAAGGATAGCACCATCGCCGCGAACGGCTGACGAGACCTTGCGGCTTTTCATCTCATCCGCATTATACCATGGATTTGATCTTTTGAAGAAGTCACCACAAAGCCTTCTTGAGGTACGCGCTTACTTACCTTTCATTCGGTTAAGCTAGGATACTTGGGTTTGTTTGTTTCGTTTCACCAAACATAAAGTTTCATTTCACCAGTGAACTATTGTGATTTTAAAGTTGGCCTGCCTGAGAGCCACCTTTGGTGTACGGATTTTTTCTGCCTGCAACTATGCGTACAGCTTTTGTCGTGCCTGCTGCAGAGTAAACAATTAGCTTGTTGTTCGAGTTATAGCGATAATGAATAGAGCGAAATTATTTTAGCAGTGATGTATCGGTAGAAGTTATCTAGGAGTATGTATAACAGTAGAATTTTACCTCATGGTACTTGAAATGGCTATGAAAAAGAGGAAGCGTTAACTCTCGCTGTAGTCGACGTCAGAATTTTGGCCTGGTCTTGGTGAGAACAGTTACCTAACCAACCACAGAGCTTTGTACTCACCCATACATCTGTTTCTACCTACAGCTTCATAAGAATAAAAAATAAAACGGTGAAATCGATTCGGAAGATTCGCAAAGCTGGGAAGCTTTTGCAGAACTCAAGTATATGTAACCATTATGTAAACCACGTAGTTATAATTATATTGTAGAATGATCATAAAAACAAATACGAAAAGCCTGAAGAGAAGAAATGAATGAAACATATGAGATATAGTAGTCCCCCTTGCCTGCGAGGTAGCATATTGTATCGTAACTTGCCCTTTCGTCATTGTGTTGGGCGTTTCGTTTTTGACCATTCCATAAGCTCTTAAATCTCACCTAATTCTCTATAAAACCTATCAGTTAATTAAGTTATCAGTTGTAGTAGGATCTGAGTTTTTCTACTTTTGACGTTCATCTCTGAGCGCAAGCAAGAGTATTTACGGTTCATGGCGACATATTGAACGTTTTGCGACGTAACGGCAGCGACTACGGTAGGTTCGAGAAAGGTTTAGAGGAGACTTGATCGCGTCTTAAAGGAAGTGGTCACGATAATTTTCATGGGAACGATAAGGGAAGCTATGTATTGGAGTGGATAGGAGGTCCTGCCCAGTGTTACAACACGTGAAGTTTCAGTGGCAGTGGCGCCTTATCAACGGAGTGATAAGGCGCCGAAATCCACTTCCGTTCAGCAAAAACCAAGACTTATCGATGTGGAAAGGGGTGCGATAAGAGCGTGCTAGATATGATACCGTTATCGTTATCGTCCCGTTTCATTCTGGAGTGCACCTCTTATCAAGCAGCCGCACCTTCTTATCTCATCGTATCATATCTTCCATGGGCTTACACTCGTCCAACAATTACTGCCTCACACCCTTATCCTTGATAACGCGAGCCGCCTTAACTTCGTATAGCATACATTATACGAAGGAAAATTTGATAAGTAACTGATAAACACCCGAAGGGTGCATCACGGAAGCTTCTAGACTTCTGCCCGTGATAGTGCAGGTCAAAATAGACAAATCTGATGGATACATTTTAAAGGAAGCGGTCACGCTGGCTTCCACGCTGGATTTGCTACCCTCGCGTTATCAATCGATAAGGTGTGAGGCAGTAATTGTTGGACGAGTGTAAGCCCATGGAAGATATGATACGATGAGATAAGAAGGTGCGGCTGCTTGATAAGAGGTGCACTCCAGAATGAAAACGGGACGATAACGATAACGGTATCATATCTAGCACGCTCTTATCGCACCCCTTTCCACATCGATAAGTCTTGGTTTTTGCTGAACGGAAGTGGATTTCGGCGCCTTATCACTCCGTTGATAAGGCGCCACTGCCACTGAAACTTCACGTGTTGTAACATTGGGCAGGACCTCTATCCACTCCAATACATAGCTTCCCTTATCGTTCCCATGAAAATTATCGTGACCACTTCCTTTAAGATGGCGAGCGGGGAAGGTAGCTGTTTTATCAATAAAAAACACTATAGCCATTTGTCAATGACTTCTGCCATTACCACTGGTGTATGTGCATAGGAACTCTGCTGACTTATTAAGATCCGATCATATGTTTTTCAGGCTACAAACGTGTTCCAAAGAAGAAAAGAATATGTGTGCAAATTATAATTTAGTGATACTTTAGCCATGGATTTTAAATATACATAGACTGAAGAATTTGACTCAGTATACCGTTTTTGCCCGTTTTTGCGCTCGGTAATGTGCGGTCTAAACTGGTTTCTTCGATGCAGACTATGTATTTCTCTAAGCGCTTATGTAAATGTATTCCTATAAGAAGTTACTAATTTTGCTTAAGATAGAGAAGGATACAACCTTCTCTTTCCTTCAAACTCCTTTCACTTAAATTACTCCACTGTCCATGACGATCTTATTGGGTTGGTAAATGATTCCTGCAGCCTTTAGCAAAACTTGGATAATTTTACAGCTACTTTTTCAAATAAATAAATTCACTTTTTAAACGGCTTTCAGCAGACCACCTGTTTTCAAGGAAGGAAGCCTTTGCGCCTGGAATTTGCTTTTAGTTCATTTGACGGCTTTGTGGTACCCAGTGACAATTACGCGCACAAAAGTGCAAAATCCATCATGGGCTGTGTAGAGTCGATCTAGCAAAGCTCTTGACTAATTCGGGTACGGGCAAAAGGAAGAGACTTAGGCTTAGCTGCTTCTTGTCCAACACAGTCAGATCTTTGCTTCGCCGCTAGATTTTGTGAAGGGAGGGGCGAAAAAAATCTCCGTCATTTTCTATATACTAACTTCAAACCGTGCATTTGTAAATTGAACAAACCCATCCCATTCTTTCGGATTACTTTATAATAGCCTTCATACCGAAGACATAAGGAGGATTTGTCACGAAAACGTGGTTCACGGTTCCTTAAAGCAACAATCCAGGAACGAATTCGCGGGTAAGGACCACCTATAATGACGTTGCAGGTGAGAAGTTGGTCAATGGAGAAAGAAAAAGTAGAAAAAAACGTCGGGCAGGGGCTTAGACAGGGACTCCCCCTGCCGTTTAGGGAGACGTGTGTTGGACGAGTTGTCCGAACCTGCCCGTAGTACATGCGCTCCAATTGCAACTGCTGGCAAATAGCCATGCATGCTTGCAAATACATAACTATTTGCCAGCAATCGAAATTGAAGCGCTTCAATTGCGTTCTTATGGAATCGACCTCATACAGCGCGGCGGTCCCGCAACGACCGCTAGTCGAGCAACGCGCTCTGCACAGCGTATGTTGAGCGATCCGCCTCTTTATGGGTGATCCGCCCCCTCCAAGAGGACTTCGACCCCTTCCAGCGCATTTTAGAGGTAGGTTTTGAAATTAAAGACATTTCCTATAAACTTTAGTTGGGCTGGGGCATGTTTTGACCGCCTAATGACCAAGTAGTTGAAACCCTGCCTGGACTGTTGCTTTAAAGAAATCTTACGGATCTGGACCATTACGAACGTTATCTTGAACGGTGTTCGGAAGGGGTGTTGCGTGATCACTGCTAATGTCTCTAGGAAGCTATCCGTTAGCAGCCGACTGAGAAATTGTAGCAACTTCTAGCTGGAAAAGCTGGTTGCGACTTACTTGAAATCGACGAAGGACAAGCTGCGACGTAGCTTCCTAAGCGATGAAAGTACTTGAGCTGGAGGGTAGTACGTCTAAGGATATTTTGCCGTAAAATTCCCATCAGCTGCGGCACCCTGTCTTACGAAAAGTTTGCTGATGTGCGCTATGAATTTGAATTGAAAATGAATTTTTTCGCTCATCACCAGACCCTCACCCCCACCTTTGTGTAGTCTATGGCAGCTGCAACATAATAAATCACCCCCAAGATTATGATTATCTCAACTTCTTACCAGCACCTGCACCATTTAAACGCACTTGTAAAATACCTACCAGATACTCAGGTCACTTGAGCCGTTGTCGACATGCTTAGAGAACTTGTTGTCAGTTTTGAAACTACAGCGAAAGATATGACACGCATGCAAGTTTACTTTGTTGTACTTTTTATCCATCTGAGAGTATTACTAGAGCGTGTACCCAGCGCGTTGGCTATCATTAGGCCAACCAAGCCTTCCATCCCTTTGGGTCGGTTAATTGGTACCAGACTTGTCTGGGAGGATAAAAACACTGACTTGTACATCGGCTGGCCCCCGCAAGTCATTGTATAGGCCACATCGCATTCAAACGCCACTACGAATGTACAAATGGAAGTAGAATGCGTGCCGCATCCCAAAAAGGGATTGATCAACGGCAAATGCTTTATCCTTTATTTTACCCTTCTATTTTATCCGACTGCATGACTAAAAAACTTGAAGGCACGTGTGACAATTGAATTGATGTTATTCCACGTGTTTCATTCCACTCCACTATTGTATGACGGAGATATGCATCGCAGCTTGGAGATGGATACATCAGAAAAAACGTCGTACGAAAGAAAGCTGATACCGCATGTGCTACGAAAGAGTAAAAATGGCAGCAGTGACAAGTGTGGAGGCAAGGCCTTGGCGCGGTCGTTGCATACTTTGGAGTCGCGACATACCACGGCTCCTGGCATTGGGATTCAGTTTCTTCATTCATAGTGGAAATGCTCTAGAGATCTAATCACAACCCATGCCGCCAACATCAGTACCTCATCAACGCTTGCCTAATTTAACAGTACCGCTAACAACTCCTATCAGGGTTGTGAGCCCTGTTCATTATCGACGAACTGCCGCGGTTCCCTACGCCTCGTCCAGCTTTAAGCTGCTTCAGCGACGTCATGCCATGACAATGTGGAATAAATCTCCCCATTCGATAAAGAGAATCACTTAACAAATTGAAAGTTAGATCTAATGATAGATACAGCGATGGTTATCTCATCGTGCATAGCCATGGCGACCTGAGAGCTTTTCGTCAGTAATCTGACAAGAGCGAGGACGGGGGATTTCCCATCCATTTAATTTTCAACCATTGGCTTTACCAGTGGTGAGGCGAATATAAAAATAACACCAGTGCCTACTCACACAACCTTTAGAGTACTTTTCGCTGTGAGAACTCGTGGAATTCTCCAGTAGAGGCATCCTTGCGAGTCCTCCAGTAGAGGCATCCTTTCGCGGCTACTGTCAAGCGGACGAAACGA